TGCAGGCCTTAAAAATTTCTTTGCAGCTGCTTGAGTTTTGTCCCTGTGGACACTGATATCTAATTTTTAGATATTAAGATATAAAAATCTCCAACAGAACAAAAAACAAAACAAAAAAAAAACCCTATAAACTCGGAAAAAATTATAGCCCACTGTCCTCGAACCAAGGCCTTCTATCTAGAACATAGACAGAATTTTAGAAAATCAGTTCCCCCAGATTCAAACGCCCAAAAATGGGCATTTGAAATGAATATACATTTCTCAGAGGAAGAAACATAAATGGCAAGTAAATATGTGAAAAGATGTTCAACATCACTGGTCATTCGAGAAGTGCAAGTTAAAACACCACTGAGAATCCATCCCACCCCAGGAAGAATGGCTGACATCAAGAAGTCAGCCAGTAACAAATGCTGGAGGGGCTGTGAAAGAGAAGGAACCCTCCTGCATGTTGGTGGAAGTGCAGACTGGGACAGCCACTGTGGATATCAGTGTGGAGAGTCCTTCAAAAGCTGGGATTGGAGGCCCCATTCGAGCCAGATATTCCCCTCCTGGGCATTTTTCCAGAAGAACTGAAAATATCATATTACATTGACATGTGTGCACCCATGATTAACGCATACCACATGATATACGTGCACCCATGATGACAGCAGCATGATTTGTCACAGCTGCATCCTGGAAATGACCCAGATGCCCATCAACTGAAGAATGGATAAAGAAGTGGTATTTTTATACAATGGAGTATCATTCAGCTATAAAACATGATAAATTTTGAGTCTTTTTGTCAATAAATGGATACAACTAGAGAACATACTCTTAAGTGAAATAAATCAGACTTTCATGTGCAAACATCGTATTGTCTCCTTAAGTGTGAGAACCTCAAAAAGAAAAATAGAATCTGAAGGGTACAATAGTTACTGGGAACATGGAATGAGCTTATTCAAAAGGAAAGGGTTACTGAGTTGAGGAGAAGGACAGGAGAGGGAGTGGGGGAAAGAGGTAGATCTATGTATGTAAGCAGGATGGTTTGGACAACTGTACTGTGTATTTCTGCTGGTCCATGGAATTAGAAATTAATGCTTTAATTTGTTTGGTTTCAGGTTTTCAACTGTTTGTACTTTTTCTGTTTTATACATTTGTATTTTTTCCTCTAATTTTACATGCAGGTATCTGGTAATATGAATAACTGGTTGGAAGAAAAACCCATGTATAATTACAAGTACTGTGAGATTCATATTACTTTGTTAAGTGAAATTGTGTGTCACTTGTTTTTTTAGTTTAATTCTAATTTGTACTCTCTTTAAAAATTAGAAAAGAAGACCACCAGTGAAAAAATATAAAATATAAAATATTAAAATATAAAATGACTGGCAAAAATATAAAAATTAAAATAGATCAAACTTGAATCTGGGGCCAGAGAGATAGCTAGGCAGTCTAAGGGCCTGCCTGGCAAGAGAAAGGACACAGATTTGATCCCTCGTACTGTATTCCAAGCTGGCCCTGCACTGGGCTGGTCGCTGAAACTGGCTGTGGTGGCTCATGCCTGCAATACCAACCCTGAGGAGGCTGAGACAGGAGGATCACTGGGAGTCTGACTGCATAGCAGGACCCTGTACCAAATAATTAATTAATTTTTAAAATCCTGAATCTGATCAGCACACCTACTGATTTAAAGAAAATACAATAAATGGTGAAGCTGTTTGGTGGTGCCTCATATAGTACACTATGGTTATTTTGTTTTCCTAGGAAATTGTAAATATTGAAAATGATTTATTTTTCATTATGGAAAACACATATTAAAATATTGAGATTCTGTGTGACACACCCTGTTCTGAAGAGTTTAAAATACAAGACAGTAGTCAGGCCTGATATGTGGAGAAGCTACCAATTATTGGGAACATAACATTCCATAACCTTTTAGGAATCCATTTTGACATATAGTTTTAAAAATTAAGCGTTTTTTTCATACATTACTTGTATCACAATCCTAATTACTTCCCCTGGAATAACAAAACCATTAAGTTCATATAAAACCCATGAAACGAAAGTTTACGATAGCTTTATGTACAAGGAATGATTGAAAAACATAGTGTGAATATTTAAAGAAATTATAGTAAAAGACACATTGCCATTAATGTCCCTTAAAATATCCTCTCCCCCACTTTGAGCACACTGATCCCATCCTGTCTGCCATTTTCTGAAACAGTTCTGCAAGTCCTCCTTCGTGAGTGTCTCTGCAAGAGTAAGAGGAGGTAGGCAAGGGCTGCTGCCCAGCGCCGCGCCCTGGCAAGTCAGGCTCATGAGGACGTTGCCGTGTGCTCGAACCGCTTCGCCATCAGATCGGGCCAGCGGGCAGGTCGGGGTCTCCCCGATGTCACGATGGCTGTGCAGGCGCACATTTTGCAGTGTTTTGGGAGATCTAGGTAGTCGTGACAGCGCAAGCACACTGCTCACACGAGGGGACTTCTGATAGTGATTCCGAAAGTGCTAAGAGTGATGGGATGAGTGTGCCCAGCAGGGAAGAAAGTGCTTTTGAGGGAGAGTGAAGGCATTCGTCATGTACTGTAAAGTGAGTTTTATTTGCATACACGTTAGGTGGTCCATATGTTCATCAGCTAACTTATTCCATAAAGTGAAATAATTTTCAGCAGTATAATGTGATTGCTGGTACTTGAAAGGCAGTAAAGGTGGACCTCAGATGCATTGTGCTAAAATCTGCGGTGCTAAGCTCAAGGGACTACGTGGCAGATGGTATCTTCATTTGATATTTTGGCAACATCATAGCTATCGGGGAGGAAATTAATTAGTACTTGCCTGATGAAGGGAAGGAAAAATGGGGCCTACTGAGGATTTTTTTTTATTTATTTTTTTGGTACCAGAGATGGAACCAAGAACCTTGTGCTTTCTATGCAGGAGCTTATGCTGCTGAGCTGTCTCCCCAGCAGTCACTGGTGAGGTTAACAGGAAATATTTAGGGGCTATTAAAAATATTTTATATCTTGATTGTAGCCAGGGCTTACAAGGATGTGGGGTTTCGTCACAAGTCATAAAAATACACCTTTAAAATGTTGAACTCATTTTAGTCTAGCTGAAAAACACAATGGAAAAATTAAAAAGTAAGCCCACTGTAATGTAGAGCAGCATTTCACTTTTAATTTCTGTGAGAATGTTAACAAAATATTAAAAATATTTGATAAGTAATTTCTGTCTATGTTAATGTACTAAGATGTAGTTCTAAAAAAATTTATTTATTTATTTATTTATTTATTTATTCATTTATTGTCTTTTTGAGAAAGGCTCTCACTATGCAGTGCAGGCGTTGAGCTCATTTTGAATCCCAGGCTGGTCTTGAACTCACAAAGGTCCTTGTGCCTCCGCCTCCCACGTGTGGGGATTCCAGGCATACGCCACCACTCCTGGCTGGAAGGCTTTATTTTGACACAAATGCTGACAGTTTTACAGATTGAACAATTTGACTACTGGAATTTGCTTCAAAAAGAATGTCTTGCACTGTGAGAACAGATGCAGATGAAATCAATTGAACACAAGTTATTATTTAATAAAACTTGCTGATGAGTATATGAGGGTTTTAGAAATGTTTTCTCTCAAAATGTGTTTGAGAATTTTCTACCTGGAATTTACTTTAGAAAGTATAGATGAGATTTCCGCAGTTGAATATTCAACAGTGTGTCTACAAAGTTCACCCCAGAAATGTGACACTGGGTGCATCTCTTACACCATGTCAGTGAAGCATGCTGTAGTGGTTCAGCTAAGGAGAACCACAAAATTCTTTTGGAGTAGACACAGGAGCAGACAGCAGAGGTAGAGCTAGCAAAGCCCGACTTCAGGAGCCCTCCCGTAGGCCAGGCGGCCGGCGCTGTCCCGGGCGCCCGCCTTCCCCGCCTGCCTGCCTGCCTGCCTGCCGCAGAGCGCAGCGCCGCTGGATCCCGGCCCCGCCTGTGTCTCCCGGAGACAGCACAGATGCCTAGTTTCTCTCTGTCTTTCCAGGTTTGTTTCCATCTTCCCGCTTTTGCAAAGTAAACCTTGCTCCTATTTCACGCTCCAGAGACTGAGAATTTATTTACAGTGTGCTTATTTTTTAGAGGGAACTCTTTTAAAATTGTTTGTCCACCCATCTCTATCGGTTTGTCAGTAACCTCATCAGATGGGAGACCGTCTTGGCCGGGCTTAGCTCGGATGTCGTTCTTCGTGGTTTCTGATCTGCCCTTCAACCTTAGCCTGGCTTAACGGCAAGTGTATTTTACAGTTGTCTGTTTCAGCATTTAATAGTGTGTTTTTGTTGTTTGTGTAGCTGACTTTTTGACCAGGTGGTGGTCGCTCTAGGTTGGTGAAAGAACGTGGCGTCGCTTCTGTTTCCCGTCTTTGAGCGAGTGCCTGCTGGCTATTCCGTGCGTAGTGCCGTCTGTCCCTGAGCACAGCATTTTGTTCACAAAAGGCGTCTTTCATCCTTCGCTGTCTGTCCACTTATATGCACTTAATTACAAACCTTTTAAATGTGGCTTGTTAATGGGGCATAAAAAGGCTATACATTAAAATAGGAAAATAAGCAAAGTTGTATATTTCCTCATTTAAAAATAAACCTTACTTAAAAAATTCAGCTAATAGAAATTACTGCTTAAATTCTATTATTTAGTCATTTAGTTTACTTAGCTTTGTTCATCCTGTATGTGAATCGGGGAGGGAGCTCAGTAGGATTGGCGCCTGCCTGGCAAGCGTGGTGTCCGGAATCGATCTCTAGCACCAAAAATAAAAAACAAATAAACACTAAATGCATCTAAAATGAACTCATCACCAGGCATTTCGTCGTGACTTAATATTGTCATTCTGCACTTACATTTCATATATATGAAAATTTTTGAAGGCTACAACCTTTGTTTATTGTGATAAACAATAGTAAGCACAGTTGATATTAATGATTTAAATAACTTGAATATATTTAAGTTGAGAAATTCATGCCAGCTTTATCTGTTTACTTCCAGTTGTGCTGCTTGATACGACTGCTGTGCTGGGGGAGCTTGGCTGGAAGACCTACCCGTTCAATGGGGTAAGCTGAGAAGCGCTCAGCGTCTCACCCTTGCTCGCTCACTGGGGCGTGAGCTAAGTGCGGAGTGCACATTTGCTTCTCCTTCATAGCAGCGGTGCTGTGAACTTTAAGTCTCATCAGAAAGATGAACCTGTAATTAAATGATGAGCTGAAGGGAATTATATGTAAATACCCTGCTTGCTTCTCTGTTATAGTAATTGTTGTGTTATTGTGTGTTATACTTAGTAACGTTATAATTCTACCCATGCACATTTTTATTTTTTTTTTTTTTTTTGGTGGTACCAGAGATCAAACTCAGGACATTGCACTTCGCCAGGCAGATGCTTATTCTGCTGAGCTATCTCCCAGCCCCAGAAATAAATTTCTATGTGTAATATCAAGATACTCTTCTGTATAAATGTTATATATGGTAATCCTATGTGAATTAGCAGAAATAAAATAGTTTTATCAGTACATTGTACAAATACTAACCGTTTGGTTTTTAATAAAATATGACTCTAATTAACCAGTATTTTAACTTGGCGCAAAGATTCTTTGTGTTTGTGTTTAGGTTGATGGCTGCTTTGGAAGATGTACAGCAGTGTGTAATTTGCAGAGTACAGTTTGCCAGTGACTTTGCACCTGTGCTTGTTGCACTTGGATTTTTAGGTTTTATCTTTTCTGAATTTTTTTTTTACATTCTACTTCTTATATCAAGTTAAAAAGAAAGGAATATTTTTGATGAGTTTTACTTAGTGGATTTTTTTTCTATTTAAACAGAATAGTTAGGGAGTCAGATGTTTGCTGCCCTGCCTACTTTCCCTTTTTTCTTGGGAATTGCATTTTCTTATATTCTGTGTTGATATTATCTACATTTCTTCTTCTATTACATCTTGAAATTGAAATTTGGAAATTAGACTCAAGATATAATTTTATTTTTTTAGAATCTTCTGATATTATTGTTTGATTTTAATATTTTACATAAAAATTGTTTGATAAATGGATATTTTTAACTGCAACTCCTGTGAGGAATTGATTCCTGCTCTTGTCAACACTTTATTTGCTTTAGATTTATTTTACATTTTGTGATTTTTATTATTAATTTTCTTTGTCTCAAATAGATTTCTCATTAAACTGTCTCTGAAAAACCACCTTTTAAAGTAAGATTGTGATTTTATCTTCATCCTCTTTTTCTATGAAAATTAATAAACACCAATATTGTGTGTATTAAGGCATAGTTATCCTTGAGAAATGAGTGAACCTCTTACGTAGTACACTCTTTCAAGTTCTATATGCCCTGAGAATATATATATATATATATTTCAGTAAGTACTTTATAATTGGATAGTTTGGAACTTTTGTTTTTCATTTACTGAAAAAAGGACAAAAATGGTCGCTGCTGGCTTCATGTCTCATAGCCAAGAATCATCTGTGGAAAAAATGTTACGCCCTCTTCTCCTCATCGTAGTCAGCTTTATCAGGCTTCATTTCAGAGAAAACTGGTCGCCAGGGAAGGCAGAATGACCAGCACGGATGAAATTGCAGCCATCAGCCTTGTTTTGATTTCTGCCTAAATGTTCCATTACTTTTAGGATGTTATGGGCAGAGGGCAGAAGTGTTGGAGCAAGCGGCCCTTACTCCCCAAGATTCTGTGTGACAGGCTCTTGGCCCAAGTGTCTCACATTCTATTTCTGCAATGGCCCTCTGAGGGATGTCCTACCTCCGTTTCCTAGAAGGAGAATCACAGTTATAAAAGGAAAAATAACATAAAATACCAACAGATACGTGGTGTTTTATCGTGCCGATAGCCGAGTGGTGAGGGGTGGATCCCATGGTGAGATGACTGGTGCCTCGGGGAGCACTTTTCAGTTTTGTGTTATATTTGACTGCTTCAGTTCTTCTCCCCTTGATAAACATAATGGTAGCATAAACTACACAGTTTGGATACTGCATATTAAGATTATGATTGTGAAAAAGAGAAAAAAAGAGGTACAGAGAAGATTATATTAGAATATAAAAGAAAGAATAAAGTAAAAACATGATTAAAAACTTAGTGAATATTTATCATGTATTGGACATGGCTTCAAATATCTTACTAACAGGAGACTTATATATCAAATAAAGCATCCTAATTTCTAGATATAAAAACTGAAACTCAGAGATGTGAAATAATGTCCACTAGGTCGCTAGGAAGTAGCACAATACATGTCCTTGGCTCAACATGCCCTCCTCTAGAATACTTATGGATGGTGACTTCATAGCAAGTTGCTTTTTAACTTTTCTAAGATTCTACTGTGTAAGAATAAAGCCTGATGACCCAGGAAATGAGATTATGGAAACTAACACATGGATTCAGGCAGTGAAAAGCAGATTAAATACATACTTAGATTAAAACATTACTAGCATGAGCTACATTATTTTAGATTTTCTCCAAGTAACATATATGAAAATTATTAACAGAAATAATATTTTAAAATTGGAATACATAGACCATTGTTAGAATACAGTTGGATGATCTATATAACCTGATTCTTGTTTTTATTTCTTATTCATTTTAATGAGAAAAAAAATGGCAATGAAACAGCTTCAAAACAGGTGAGTAGAACAGTTACAGTAACTGAAACACTGTCTTCGCAGTAGTTATTCAGAGGACAGGATGCAGACACCCTAATTCTAATGCTAAGAAAAAGACAACTGAAAAAAAAGTATTTATATTTTCCTTGTAATGAAGAGGATTAACTATTTGTAAAAATGGAGTTTTGCTTAATGCTATTTATAGGCTAAGACAAGGTACTAGTCACTAAAAGACAAGGTACTAGTCACTAAAAGACAAGGTACTAGTCACTAAAAGGCAAGGTACTAGTCACTAAGAGGCACTGGTCACTAAAAGACAAGGCAAGATACTAGTCACTAAAAGGCACTGACTATGTGTCTGAAGCTTACGGTTGAAGCTTGTAGTTGCATATATGGTTGAAGATTAGTTTTAGAAGTACATACATCAGAAATATATCAGTGATAGGAAGTTTATCTGATGTTTCTGTCAAAAATGAGTCTCGTAGGAATAAATTTGAGTTGAAAATATCATCTTGATGTAAAGACTAGAGCTATGAAGTGCTACGTAAAGTGTAAGAAATGTAATGTGTATTGCCCTAGGTCGGTCTGTGTCCCTCTCTCCCCTGGCTCCCTCCTTCCCACATTAAGAGCCACTTGGCAGTAGCGTCTCACTGTTGGGGCTACGGGAGTAGGAATTCACAGTGTGCCTGGGAGCGAAGTCATCCCTGGCCTCTTAACTAAGAGTTGTGCATCTCTTCTTAGTAAACCTGGAAAGATGGGTGAATAATCCTGAACCAATAACATAATTTCAGTCTTCCAAAGGTGAAAATAGAATCTATTAACTTTCTGAAATATTTTTCTTGTATCAGAATTTAAGGAATAATTTATTTTAAAAACAATGTACAGAATTTCATTTAACAATATTATATTTTATATTTCTCTGTGCCATGTGCCCTGTTAGTAGGCTTATCGTAGATATTCTAGCCTGAAGAATTGGTTTGTGGCATCCTTACTACACAAACATGTAGTTTTGTGAAAGAATATTAAAAGAAAGGATTAATTCTGTGATAGAAAATGGGAAGTGAGAAGGAAAATATCACCTCCTGTTCTATAAACTGTGACACATATCATCTGAACAAGTCAGCTTCTGGGCAAAAGGCGAGGCCGGCACAAAGGCGCGAAGGTGTGAAGGTGCACGGGTGTGCTGCAGCTCCTGCACAGCAGGGCTCTGTAATGCTGAATGAATAGAGGCAGTTCTGGTAATGCTGAGAAGCACGCCTGAGGCTGGAAGGGAGGACCGTAGAAGACAAGGCTGTGGTCAGGGCTGAATTATAGAGTGCAGAGCAGAATTTCGGGGTGTTACTTGATCTAAATACTGCACGTCTCAGATCCGAGTAAAAGTAAAAACTAAAAACTCGTTGACCTCACTTGAACAATTAATGGCGTGCTGGATCCTTTCATTTAACATAGTAATTTAAACTCATAGGAATGAACGGCTCTCTTGAAAACTGGAAGGATGCTCAAAATATAGGTAACATGACACTGCTGACATATTGGAAATAAAGTAAAATTGACTATATGTCTGAAGCTTAACGGTTGAAGCTTGTAGTTGCATACATGGTTGAAGATTAGTTTTAGAAGTAAATACATCAGAAAATTTGGGAATCGGCGTTCATTAAGTTTTCACACTGTGTTCTTGCTGTGTAAAGTTAAGAATTCTGTGTCGCATAATTCAAACATAGTTAAAAACCTTGGGACTCTTGTTTTTATCTGTCAGTGTAATTCACTAAGTTAATATGTGATCTAGCAAAGTTACCATAAAAATCAGTGGAAGAATGTGCATAAATGAGACATTTTTCTGTAGCACAGAAAGCGTTCCAAGTTAATAAGGAAGAAGCGTTTTCACTTCCATTAAGTATAGGCCTACGCTTTGTCTTTTCTGTGGCTCCGAATAATTAACTGCTGGGTAAGCCTGAATCTTACTCTGAAAAAGCTGAAGGGTTAGTTTCACTTTTGTAAGACTCCCAGAAATGAGACGGTGATTTTAATGATAATTAAAACAAGCCAACACACAGAGGGAATATATGTAGTAGTATTTTACAGAAATAAATTGGAGAATGCATATCCAAAATTATTCTTATATTCTGAAAAAATATGTAAAACTATATAGATGTTTTTGAAACGTTAACTTCTTGTGTCTGTTTCGTGCTTTTTTTATATTTTACTTACTTGATTTAATTTTAACCATTGTAGAGCGTTATAAATGAAAGGATAACATAAAGTAGGAGTAATAAGACCTTTAGTTAAATATGATATTCAAAATTCTAATAGCCATTACAGATTGTGCCTGTTTATGTCACCCAGCAGTGAACACACCACATAAGAGTATATGACTTAATGTTAACTTCGCTGTTAGGGAGCAAATGCACTGAACCAGAAAATAACAGGCTTTTGAGTACAGAAAGGAA